TTTTTTTATCCGAAAAATGCCTTGAAAACGGGCGTGGCAAGGGGCGGAGTTAGTAGTGTGCCGAAAGGAACGTTTACTTTGGTATACTATACCTCTATTTGTGAAAGGTAAAGTTTTGAAGTGATTGGAAATAATTTGATTTAGGCTTTTCCGAAAATGCGCTTTAGTTCTGTAAGGGATTTATTGATTCGAAAAAAAAACTTCTGTTCGCTTTCCAAAAAAATCTTGTTTTAGCACGGCCTGGAGCGAAACGAGTGCTTGAAATCAATCCTGGTCAAGTTAGAATAAAACCGGATGTAGTTCGATTACCTGGTTGCTTTACATTAGAGATCAAAAACATGCGGGTATGGATTTTTCTTTTCAGATTGAAGCATAACTCAATGTGAAATTTAGGTAAAAGATGATCCAAATATTATTGGCAACTCATTCTTTGCAAAGGCCGAATATCAGTGGTGGAATGTGAAAGATTTCTCAAATTTGAAATGTCAGAATGCTTCCAATAATGGTTGCGGTGGCTATGGAAATAACTGGTCAGTAAAGAGCATTTGAAAAATTTTTCTTATTTCTAACCAGCTGTCAGTTTATTCAAATTGTCTATTTTATATGACTTTGGTCTTTAGCTATTACTGTGACGTTTGCCATTCCCTAACCGAAATTGACAGTGGCGATGCTGGTGTGTCCGATTCGATTGCAAGCCAGCTAAAAGGCATCAGTTGTCCAAAGCGACCAGGATTTTATACTTTTAGAAAAGTCAGTAAGCTCTCTAACTATCAAATCTTGGTTTCTATGATTTTATGCAGGAATTTTGTTTCAACGACTGGGCCGCATTTGACACTGACGGCGATTGTGAAATGGACTTTTTGCAAGGAGACCGAGGCGACTACAAGGGCGCATTGGCTAGTTTGCAACAAGTTGGCTACGTAAGTTCTTCTGAAAGAAAAAATTGTTCTAAATTGATGTTTTTTAGGGTTCCGTGATAGCGAAGATACGGCTAGCTTTCAATGCTACAGGTGCTGTCGAAAGAAAGCGAATATTGAAAGAAGCTCAGATTGAAGAAAGTGTGGCTAGGTAGGTTTATCTTACAATGTTTTTGTTGAAGATTTTTGCATCCTAATACACTTTTGAAATTTGAATAGACCAACTATTTTTCCGATAAGTAGCCGTTTTAATGATAGTTAATTTTCCGTTGGATTATAAGTAAGTGACCTACCCAATAAAACAGTATCCGAGTCTTATTTAACTTTTTTCAATCTTCTAACGGATCTATATGTGTAGGCTCTAATTTAATAGAGTAATTCAGCGCCAATTTTCAAAGTTTGCTGTGTTATCTATTTCTTTCATTGAATGGCAACAGAGGAGCATTTATTCAACTGCATAGCTTAACCTTTGAGATATTTGTTTAGCTAAATTGTAAATATGTGCGACTGCACATATGTTCTTCCGAAATCGGAATAAAAACGATTGTACCTGTTGTTCGCAGTAAGTGAATTTTGACTTTGCATGTATCTCCACACTTTTGTTTAGTTTGCATGCTTTTTGTGGTAAATATTGGCCAGTCTTGGGCTCTTTCAGCAGACTAATACAGAGATATGGCGGGGAGAGAACGTTAACACATTCACAACAAAGCCAATTTTTCGATGACTGCCAATTCGGATTAAGGCATATTT